TTTATTTTTTGGGAATACGTTCTTATTCTAATATTAATCCTTGTTTGATTGCAGTAGATGATGAAAAATTTTCAATTATAATCATTTTAGTCAATCAAGTACACAAAACTTTCTTTTAAATATTTTTAATCAATAAAGATAACTATTTTCATATGTCCTCGGCTATTTTGATTCGCATTATTAATAATTTTAAAATGTGTTCGGAAAATCGATAAAAAACTAAGATTCGCATTAATATGATTTGTTATTTAACAATAGAGTTTCCCAGTCCTATATACATAGCTTCAGTTTTAATGGTGATCACTATTTTAAAATTATATTGTGCAACCCTTTTGTTGGACCCCCCAATTAAATTAACTAACCCCAGTTTGTTTTTTTTAAAAATAAAAAATTATTTTTATAAGAATGTCTTCGATTTGGGCAACAAAAGAAGAAAAAGAAATCAAGAAAACAATACTGGTGCCGTTAGAGAGTAAGTGTTTATCATAAGGATGGTGGTTATCGCCACTCATTGTCACTCTAGTTATTTATTATAAACTGTTTTTTCGCTTACTTAGGAAAGAGAAACTCAAACATGAGATTCTAGAATAATACCTTGATGATTATTACGATTCGTTATCATCTTCCGGTTCTTCTAATACTGGTGCTGCTAATGATGATGGTGACAATTTATTACCTGCTACAACATTCTTTAGCTGGTTTATTAGAGAATTCAATCATTTTTATAGAGTTCCAGAATACTCTGAAAATATATGGAGTAAATCCTTTTGTTCAGGTGCCTGGAAACCAGTCTTATTGGACCAATTCTAAGGGATAGCCAATCATATTTCAGAATTTAAATTAACGAATTTTCGCCGGGTAATTGGTGAATAATCAATGGCACAGAATATTAAACTAGAAATTTTATTCGCGTAATTGAATGAATTTTTTTTAATAATGTAAATACTATTTTATCCATTATTACACTATCACCGACATTCTTCCTATTAATATATCAAGTCATACGGTGCCATTACCAGCTAACAAATATTTATGTATTGCAGTAATTCCTACTCCAAATGAGCATTTATTTAGTGAAGCTGGATACACCAAACGAACAAAATTGGATCCATTGTTATTTGTATTTCTTAATAAATAATTGTATTAAATAAAACTTAAATCGATGAATATTCAACGGATATTCGGCGAATGACTGATTATCCAGATAACCAACAGATACAACCACTGACTGATCTTTGATTAAAAATAATCTACAGTGTGATTGTTTTATTATTTTATTTTAGAAACTTGGGAAATTATTAATTCATGGATTATAATCTATCAATTGTTCACATTTTATTTATTTGTCAAATTTGGTAATTTGGATAAAATTGTAGTAGCCCATATTAATATAGTAATAGAAAGACCCTCATACTCATCAAAAATCCGTTAATGTTGTGACACAAATAAAATCCGTTACGACAAACATTTTTAATTAACACAATAGTTGTAATAAAGATGTTCTCATTTTCTTTATTATGTAGATATATACTTTTTGCGCATGTGTTTTCTTTGAAGTTTGTTTTTGCTGTTTGTTTAAAAACATAAATGGTGAGAGAAGGAAGGGTTTTTATTTTTGGTTTCTAATTTGCAGATTTGCATCAACAAATTTTTTTAAATATAAGAAAAAACGTGTCTTCTCCTTTTCAAATAAAAAGATATAAGATAGTAAATAGATTAAAGCTTTTAAGGGATTTTTTTGTAAAAAACGGATATAATGGTGTTTTAAAGGGCGCGTGTAACCTTTCTATCCAATCAAATTTTGATTTTCTCCGCATAAAATTCATCGTCCTTGATGTGGTACGGATTTTTTTGCACTTACTTTAAAATTCATTTTTATTATGAAGCCAAATTTTTTAAGGAATATCATTATTTAGAAAAAAAGTCTTAAAAGTTTTTGTTTTACCATGTTTGCAAAGTTCGGTGGAACAAATAAATAGTAGTGGCAAAGATGAGCAATCTCAGATTTTTTTACTTGATATAAAGCTTCGCTAAGAAAATATAGGAATATAAAATTTTAATAAATCTAAAGACATACTAGTCGTAGTTTTTGAATTCTTGAAAAAATTCAAATCCCGTGATCGGCACTAAATTAACATATTAATATGGCATAATGGACATTCGTTTATCACAGTGACAAAATTAAATGCAGATCTTTTTTATGCTGTGCAACAGCGTATTTTCAATTGTTTTAAAAGAGGCTGGTTATAACACAAGTGATTAAAAGCTACTTGTAAAAACGATGATGTTTTGCTTGAATATACTTTTTGTTAGTTAAAAGGCTTGGACAAAAAGATCAAGGGAGATCATTGATTTTGAAGGATTTCAATATATACCGAATTTTTTCAATTTTATAAACATAATTTTATACAAAAAAATAAAAAAAAATAATCTTGAAAGGTAATCCTCAAAGAAACACACACACATATATAAACTATTATTAAAACAACTATTTTTTATTATTATTTCAAAGATGACAATTCTCAAAGAAAAACAAAACTGGATTGTAAAATAATATATATTATATACATATATATATAACTATTATTAAAAAATTATTTTTATTATTTTTCAAAGATGACAATTCTCAAAGAAAAACAAAACAAAACTGAATTATATACATATATATATATAACTATTATTAAAAAATTATTTTTTTTATTATTTCAAAGATGATAGAGAATCCTCAAAGAAAATCAAAACTAGATAGATAATAAAATGTATTACAACTAATATAAATCATAGGTATACTTCATTGCATATTTAATAACATTAAAGGTTGATCATGATGTAAAATTCAATTTATATGTGGAAGGAATATATAGGCATATGAATATTTGATATCATTCAAAATGATGTGAATGTGTTAATATTAGATGGGAAATCTACATTTTTTTGTAGGAAAAAAACACATGTGTTCATAATTGTAGCATTTATAATTTTTGAAGTGCATTCTTCATATTTGGTTAATTACTCACCCAATGCAAAGAGGAAAAATGGTTGGGATTACAAAGGAAACTATTTATTATGATTTTATGCATATATTTTATATCCATATTCAATTAACTACATTGGATGTTGACCATCCTAAAACAATTTTAATATTTGACAATTTGAAGTTGTATATATTATATATTATAAATTATAAATTTTGTTTTTGTAAAAAATCTTCAAGCCAATAAAATTTGATTTTCGTGTGATTTTTTGGAGGGTGATCATTGTAAAATTTAGCCAATGAAATCAAAGTCACAATGTGATAAACGAATGTCCATTATGCTTATTAATATGGTAACAATTGTTACTATATAGTATTTTCCAATTTAGATAAATATTTATTGTTTTTTTAACCTTATTTTTACATTGTGCGAGCCACATGATATTTCAAGATTTTTAATAACGATCTGCACATTTTATTTAAATTATTTATGAATAAAAGAATGAGCATCGTGTAACAATTGTTATCAGGAAATTTTAAATTAATTACCAATAAAAAATGGAAAATAGATTGATTGAAGTGGGTTAAAAAGGAAATATGTGAACAGCAATATAAATAAAAATTAAAATTAAAAAAATTTTTTTTTATTTATACGTATTAAATTAAAAACTTTGATATATGACAAAGTTGATTGGTGTTTCTTTGGTAACCTCCACGTCTCCCTCTTTCTCTCTCCTAAAAATTTATTCTATTATAATTATAAATAAATAAATTTTTTTTAAATTTTAAATTAACAACGAGACGAGGTTTTTAAAAGAGAGAGAGAAATAAAATATTATTGTATGTTCTTATGATATAAATTAAAATATGGATTTCGTATATGAGTTTTCAGAAATTATCAGAAAATATCGTAAAACAGAATCAAGTATTTTGGTAGCTGCAAGAACCCTAACATTAACGGTTTTGATTCTGTTAACAGTTGGATATTTGCTAATATTAGTGCTATTGGTTCTATGGGATAAGAGTGTAATAACAACAGAAATACAATATCAAGAAATATTGCCGATACCAGGTTTGAAAACCTTTTATCTCGATTCATTCATTGATTGTTGGTTGATTAATATTTATATAGATTTTTATTCAAAAAATTTATAGATTTTATGATATCTTTTAATTACCATTTTAGTCTTTCTTGTAAATTTAGATATCTTGGTAACTGTTTACTATTACTATTATTATTATGATTGCTATTATTATTATATTTTGAAAATTATTTACACAATTATTCCCTTCTTCTTATTCCACACTAGATGGAACTCAATCAGAAATAGATATATGTACAGAACGATGCATCACACAACCAAAATGTATGAATTCAACTGAAGATGGGCGATGGTATGGTCATTTCACAGTAAATCCTGATGAAGTAGATGTAAATTTTAATAAAACTGCTAAACGTTATGGAATTTGGGTTACAATAAACATTGATGATCCAAGATATACAAGAGGTGATGACAAAGGAATGTACCTGACTGCCTATGATTCAGATTTCAATCCACGTACAGTTGATATAGATAAAGAAAATATGGCATTAAAATATGATCCTGATTTTTATAACCAATTGAATCAATCAAATTTTCATATTATTGGCTTTCATCAGGTAAATATAAAAAATATAAAAAAAAAGCATTACCATTATATTTTGTTATTAATCATCATTGATAATAATAATAATAATAATAATAATAATTTAAAGGTTAATTGGATGTTTGTTAATAGACACATTAAACAAAAAATGATTCCAAATGGTTTAAATGTTTTAGGCGCACCAGCAAGTTATTTTGATATGCCATATATAACTACCAAGTATGGTTAGTAGTAGTAATAATAATAATAATGATGATGATTGATAATAAAATTATTTATATGGTTGATTAACAATAAGCCATCAAATTGATAAATTATAGAATCTGTAACAAATCCTGCAACAACACCAGAGTTTGATATTCAACCTGTCACAGGACCACAATTATATTCAAATTTATTTATTGGTACTTTAAATTGGTATCAAGAAATACATAAAGAGTCAAGGTAATGAATGAATTATTACTTTTCCATTTCCATTTCCTTTTCTTTAATATTTATATTAATTTATATTTATTTTATATTTATTTCACATGATTAGGTCACGACGTGTAAGTGTTGATATTTTTTTCTGAAGATAAAAAACAAATGAATTAGTAAATACAAAATTGTATTGATTATGATTATTATTTTATAGGTATTAGACTCTTTTGGTTTGCTTACTGGATTTTATGGATTTTTAATGGGAATTTATATATTATTATTTGGTAAGTAATAAATGTATATAAGAAAGATTTTTTACAAGTAATTATCACAAATTAACAAAATCAAACCATTATAATATATGCTAATAGGGTTTGCACCAGTGTTACCATGGGGCGTGATACAAACATTTTTCATGAAAAGACAAATCAAAGAAAGTTTATATGAAATATATCAACATGGATTTATACCATTAATAGATGAAGTTCCTCAAGATGTTCCAATTGAAATACGTATTAAAGAACTTGAAAAATTCTTAAAGCAATTTATATGTGAGGTTGATTATATGGAAGATGTTAAAGTATATGAAAGTGGTGAAAGTGGTGGTGGTGATGAAAAGGGTGGGGCTGAGTATAATGAAAAAGAGATTGATGGTGAAGCTGAGAATAATGAGAATGAAGAAAATATGTAGAATTATATATATATACACATTATATATCATCAGCATTTTATAACTGTATTAATATATTAATTTATTTAGAATTTAGAATTATCTTAATTTTGGATAACTCCAACTAATTTTGTGTATGATTATTATGTATATTTTATACATATGGGACATACTGCAACAAAATCAGACAAAGTGAACATTTGGATTTCAGGGTTTAAACACGTTACATTTATTGTTCGTTAAAACAATTTGATTTAGATATTGATTTTTTATTCAAAAGAAAAAAAATCTTATTATAATTGTTTACTAATTAATTCCAATTCATTAAAAAGTACTGACGAATAGTAATTTAATTCAATTGATTGCTTATACCACCATTTTATATCATTCTTTTTTTTGTTTATTTGCGAGAATATTTCTTTTGATTTATAACCCCTATTAATTTTTATACCAATCATTTTATCATCTTCCCACAAGAAACTGATCCAACCACAAACTATATTCATTATTACATTGATGTGGTCCTTTAGCTCTTCTATTTAAAAAACTAATCAGTAAATAATTTAAACTTTTTTTATTAAAAAAAAAAAATTATATACAAACCTGCTGTATCAAATATAGTTATTTCTTCCAACTTAATATATTCATCATGCCTGTAAATACATAATAAAAACTGGTTAAGGCTTAATATGTGTATAATAAATAAAGATCCTTTGTGTCCATTAATGTTAAAAAGGATACGATAATAATAAATCAACCAAGTTATTACTTATGCAATTAATAATTTTCAATTTTTTTTCAAGAGTTTTAGTAATTTGTAATAATCTAAAAGTATATACAAAGAATTCAAATTGCAAGATATATATAAACCAGCTAACTCAAATGATATTTTTAACATGCTTACCGGTCTTGATCTTTTTCAGACAAAGTATTATCAGCTTTATTTTTTTTTATTTCGGGACTAAAAAAAAAAAAAAAAAGGTGAGAAGATTTTTCTACTAGAAACTAGAGTAACAACGAATGGCGGGCGACAACCACCACCACCATCCTTAAAACACTTACCAGTAGATTTCTTCTGCTCCTTGGGTTTTTCTTCGTTTATTTGGTCCTCTAGACATTTTAAAATAAGTTTGTTTTGTTATGATCGACGCGTACACACTAATTATTTATCCTATTGGTTTTTTTTTTGGTAGGACAGACGCGAATTGATTTTTTTTCTTCTTGGAAAAACAATTTATTTTTTGACAGAGTCCAAGGTGACAAAACGTGAAGTGTTGTTGTTCAGTTCTCCTAAAGAAGAAGTGTTAATAATAGAGGTACTATTTTTTACTTGTACTGATTGATATTTTTTTTTTATATAAACATTTTAATTGGAATCAAAACGCGGAGCAGATCTTGCTGGTGTAATTACAAGATTTTCATTGATAATATTTGGCTTTTTGTAATTGTTAATAATATTATTATAATCACAAGATGTCAAGGCAGCGCACTGCTGAATTTGAAACATTTCAAATATGAAACATTTTGATTTGCAATGTTTGATTATCGGAAATCTTTAGAGACGTTGAAGCATGCGCACTACCTTGAACACTTTACAGTCATTCTCACATCTTCCTCGTGTACACAAGGCTAATCTGACCTGATTGATCGATGATACAATGATGCAACAAATTCCAGGGGTATTGCGTGGCTCTGGAGTTTACTGAGATTGCACCAATCGTCAATGACGCTTTCACTAATCTTCCAGACCAGAAATGGCTGCTGGCATGTTGGATGAAAAGTTGACTGCAACAATCCTGCCTCTAGGGCAAGGATGGCACTGTGACCAAGTCACAACCCTGTAGCATTTTGAAGAATTGTAGTGCCATGTAAATATCCAGATCCATCAAAGCAACAAGAATCTGCAGCTCGTTTCAAGCACAGGAGGTCATAATTCAGAGCAGAGTTGGTGGCCCTGAAATTGCATTTGGACTCTGATGTTAAGAGGGAAGTTGTAAAATAGTGTTTGTTTTGCATAATCATTTTCATAAATGCTCTGTTTTTCTGATACTAACCAATTTATGATTTTGGGTAGGGGACTGGATGGGGTTTTGTCCAATCAGTCATCTGTCCTACAGGTTAAAATTATCGCATGATTATATACATCTTTGTCAGCAATATGGACAACAAGGAAAAAGTTATAAAATGGTTCGGATTTTGTTTGGTATGTTATAAATTAATCATTTTCCCAAATTTTCTGC